AGGAGGGGGGCGACTATATATCTAACTTATAGCTTGTAGCATAAAGTTTTGTTTGTTTTAGGATTTTTTTGCTATAAGTTTTTATTTTATTTTTGCTCATGGTTAGTGTTTTTTCTCTTTTGTTTCTTTTGTTTGTTTGCTGGTTTGTTTGTGTTCTGTTTTAACGTTGTAAAAGAGCTCTCCTTTAGAAAACCTAGTTCTCATTCACTGAGAACAAACTAACGGGCATATCTTGGTACAGACAGAAGCTGCGTTGTCGTATCCTCCTATCGTTCATGAGAAAAATTAAATAATCCAGATAAAATAACCCAACCTATAATAAACTTTGTCCACAGCTATCGAATTTCAAACAAGTCTTAAATATTTGTAATAAATCCATCTTTTTGGCCACCACTTTAGCAAAGTATAATTTGGATCATCATCATCATCCGGTGCCTTGCCGACTGGCGTGGGCGATCATGGACCTCCATTTCACTCTGTCTTGCGTTGCAGCGAAGGTGTCTGTCTTTCTTGCTGTTCCCAGCCATGTCGTCAACTGCCCAGTAACTTTTCCCTCTGTCTACCTCTGCCTCTCTTTTCATCAAACTTTCCAGTTGTAACAATGTTCTCCAATCCTATATTTTGGATACACCCCCCCCCCCTCCCAAAAAAGGGCGGGTTCTATAACTGCCTTAATGAATTTTCCATGATAGGGCCATTCCAGGAAAAGTGTCTCACGCGACGCAGGGAAAATTACACGCTGTATAAAAAAAAATCCAAGCAATGATAGAGCCATTCATCTTTTTTCTTTCTTTTATTTTTTGTTGGGTTTTTTTTTTTTGTTAGAGGAAGATTGCATCTAACAAACAAAAAAAAGAAAAAAAGAAAAAAGAAAAAGAAAAGAAAAATAATTTAATAGAGCTCTATCACTGTTTAGAATGTGTTGTTTTTTTTTTTTTTAAACTTCCAGTCAGTCATCATCTCTGCATTACGTGTGCCATTTTTATGGAATAATTTAAAATGTATTTTTTTTATTTGGGGGGTTGGGTTGTTGTTGTTTTTTTGTTTTTTTTTTGGGGGGGGGGCAGGGGTGTGATCAAATTGTGCCAAAATGAGGCTTTTTGCTCCTCCATGTAGGGAACTCCTGGCCGGCCCTGTCTGTATCAAATGTATAAATGGGAGACGTGCAGGAAGTAGAAGCTTTTACGATGAGACCTTTATTTATTTCTCGTGTCTTGATTTATAGTGCCGGATATTTGTAAATTACGCAAAAATGGGTCGCCATGGTGATTGTTATGCTTCAAGGAAAACAAAACAAAACACAACAAAACAAGAAGATGAAAAAATGTTTGGAATGTGATTTTACCTAGAGATCTCGTTTACCATCTTTGATAAGATCCACTAGACTTCATTACTGAATGTACAGGAATAGTTTTTTATACATTTTTTTTACCGCAACAATACTTCACACAACCTCGTAGGCAAGCTGAAGTTGAGTGCAACCTTGAGGCCTCATAGTAATACCACACCGTCTAATAAAGGTATAAACAAATTATAAATGTTCGTATACAAAAGGCGATATTCCTTTTTCCCCTCTCCTCAACATCTCATATATAATAGTATAATAGTATAAATAATTTATCAAACGATGAGTGTAAAGATTACGTCATTCTATAACCCTGTACTTCTCCGGGTCAGCCAGTGAACGCTTAAACAGAGTGCACACTGCCAGTCAAACGCAGTCGAATCGAATCGGGCCAGCCAAATTTTCCTCCATGGACGGATAAAAGTAACCATTTTGGCAGAATTCGATCAGATTCGATTGATTTAATTTGATCGTGACCTTCAACATCGAACAAGTTTGATTTTCAAAGCAGTTAGTCAAATTCGGTGACATTGTACTAAAATGGTAGCTTTTGCTCCTCCATGAAAGAAAATCTGGCTGGCTTCGACTCAGTTCAAACTTCTTTTGATATGCAGTGTGCACCGGTCTTTATGAGTGTTACTGCTCTGGCGTCATAATGTAGTGTAAACTTACAGCTTGTGTTAGTTACCTTCTGATTCTGTTGGCGATGAAAATTGTCCTTTGTTTTGTAATGAGGTGTGATAAAAGGTCTTTAAAAACATGGTAGCTCATTATGTAGAACGACATTTGAATGAGTGCGAGAGGGCGAGAGAGAGAGAGAGAGAGAGAGAGAGAGAGAGAGAGAGAGAGAGAGAGAGAGAAAGAGAGAG